TTTTTTTTTTTCCCCCAGCAAATTTCGACAACCTTGTTTTTCAGAAAACTGGTGCTGCAGGGGTAGTAGACCAGAAGACGGAGTAGAGCCTCTGTACAACCTGGAGTACAAACGCGAGGTGTGTTTGCCCACAGAGACGGGGGGCATATTACTCACAAGGGACAGCACAGCAGCAATCACGGGTCCCGTAGATAGTACTATCACTTCTGGTACCTGGGGCTAGGTCCCACTTACACGAATTATTAAGCGATATTGTCCGTAGATAGGGTAGCAAAGATCAACGGCCAGAATCTCTTAATCCGTCCGTGCAAGTGCGACCTTGCCCCGGAGTGTCATGTGGGCGACATCTTTGGGATCTGGCAGAGAATGGGTCTGCATGGAGGGCATGTCGTACTGTAGGAAATATCTGCAGCCTGCTGGCTTTTTTTTTTTTCTTTTTTTTTAAATTTTATTTTAGACCATTTCTCGAATTACGTGTGTCATCCTTGCGCAGGGGCCATGCTAATCAATGTTCTCTGGATCGTTCCAATTTTAACAGATGTCCCGAAGGAACATTTTTTATTTATTATTATTATTTTTAATAATAAAAAGCCTGCAGCTGCCATTTTGCTAAATGTCTGTACAAACATTGAACTGTAAAAAGGGAGAAAGGGAGAGGTCGGTGGACCCGTTTTCCAGCAGGTGCTGCCCCCGATCCCGACCAATACATGGAGCCCCCAGGGAATGCAAGTGGTGTCTGCTCTTATCAGCACCCCCATAGCACTACCTCGCGTGTCTTCCCTCTTAAAAAAAAACAAAAAAAAACAAAAACAAAAAAAACACCATGGAGTATAACCTCAGTACAATGCACGTACAAAAAAGTTAAACTGACCTCATCCTTTTGATGATCATGAGCACAGTGCGGGCACTGATTCTGCAGTCCGTCGTGACGGGGAAAGCACTATGTTGCAAGCTTTCTTTGTACTTTTATAGGGTTTAGGCCCTTTAGGGTTCTCGATGCCGGTATCAGCTCTTGGTAGACAAGAGTTATGGGCCAACATGACACTCAACAAAAGTATGCTCTAGGCACAACAAGCTGAGTGGGCAGGCGGGACACCAAGACAGCAAGGCATGCAGCAACACGGCAGCCTATACCCATATTATGCGCAACAAGGATGAAAGCGGGCTATCAGTCACCGAGTTACTCACATCACATGGAAAACCTAAAGACTATAGGTTCACGCCACCATCAATAGCAAGGATGCACAAAACGAATGGATGCATTGGATGTTATCACCCAGGAAACACAACGACAAAGGGAACCCAAACACCGCAGCCCCCCTATTAGCGTTGTAGCCAGCGGCAGACCACATGAAGACCACAATAAGTGTATAATACGACTCAGGCCCGCCAGGGGAGCCGCAAAGGAGTAGTAGTTGAAAATGCCACGGGTTTTTGCATTGTAAAATGCAAGTATATCTGCGTGGTCCATCGGGATCATAATTCTTATTGGCATAGGAAGGATATAACCTTTGTAAGTGCGTCTTACAAATCCATACTTCTTAAGTCGTTCTACAAGCTCCTTGATAGGGGCTCGGCGGAGAATGAGTCTCGGGTGTATCCTTCTTCGGTATACTTTTCCGTGCGCTTCGCGCCTAACCCAAGAGACTTGATTTTGTGCCTTCCATTTCACGGCATGAATTTGGGTACTTAGGAGAGATATCCCATTATGACTTTTTGTGCTTCGCACCTGCTGATTAAGCTCGAGCACAGGCTGCACCGAGTATTTGGCACATCTCGAAGGTACTAAGCTTAGGCACTTAGAATGTAGAAACACCTGAGGAAAAGGCCAAACCGCACAACAAATCGACTAACACAAAAAAGCACACTTCGGAGAAGAGAGAAAGAAATAATAAACAAGTAACGGCAGACATGGCATGTTTTTTTCGCCCATTCGGTTCTCAAAGGTGACATGAACGTGTGTGTGTGCGTGTGTGTGTGTGTGTGTGTGTGTGTGTGTGTGTGTGTGTGTGTGTGTGTGTGTGTGTGTGTGTGTGTGTTTAATTTTCAGCACAATAGCCCCTAATCCACCCAGACGAGTAGATCCAAAATGGAAAGCAGCTTTAGTCCTATTGCAGACAATGGAAACATTTGACTCGAGACGACGAACAGTGATTCAGAACAGTTTTACCTTGATAGCAAGCAACACGGAGCAAAATAGAAGCGTCTAATTCCCTTTCTTAATTGTGTTCAGTTTGCCATGGCGTTTTGGGGTACCCATTTCAATTGTCCTTGCAACATGTACAAGGCTCGCCACTTCGATTGTAGGTGAGCGCAAGCTGCCCACATCCCTGCATGGCATAACGGCCCTCTTGTACACTATGAAAGGAGGCAGAGTAAAGGCGGTGGTTCGTTCCTGTTCATTTGTCCTCAGATCCACCCCTAGTCCACCTTCCGAATTCCCAGATCCCTTTCCCCCATCAGGTCTGCCATTGGTTCCAAGATCATGGTACGCGCTCGATGCTCTTTGAATCCTTCAATGAATCTTCCTCCTTTCTGATAATGATCTGTATCAGTTCTCGGATATAGTAGGTGGGAATGCTAGGTGTATTTACATATCTGGAGCCCGGACAGGGTGAAGAGGCATAGGATCCTCACCTACTTGTTAAGTTAGAGTTCCAATCTCAAGTATGGGTATAAATCGGAAGGGACGCTGGGCTCGGTTCCCAGCATGAGCTGTGCTATGTCTTTAAGCATGGGTATAAATCGGAAGGGACGCTGGGCCCGGTTTTCAGCATGCGCTGTGCTATGTCTTTAAGTATGGGTATAAATCGGAAGGGAGGCTGGGCCCGGTTCCCAGCATGAGCTGTGCTATGTCTTTTCATTATGATGTCAAGGGACGCTGGACCCGGTTTCCAGCAGGTGCAGCTCCCCAGCAATGGAACGGAGCCGTCTACCCATTTGAGGAGTAGAGGGAGTGTCTGCTCTTACCAGCACTTCCTTTACTCCTCATCACAGACGTTTAAAAAAAAAAAAAAAAAAAAAAAAAAAAAAAAAAAAAAAAAAAAAAAAAAA